CCAAGGCTGGAATTTTTCATGACTGGGAAAAAAAGCGTACTTGAGTTTACATTAAGATGGCTAGAATATATGTTAAAAATCTATCGATCTTCCTGGGTTTTTTTGTGAAGACTGCCGGATAAAATCTAGGATATTGTTGTATGGCAGAAATGTCTGTTTTTCTCTCTCACTTAGAAACACCTACAGCATATTAAGAAGACTGGCTAAAAAAGGCTTAAGGCAGCAAGCAGGTGTGTGTTTTACATATATTACTCCATTTTTCAGGAGAAAAAGTAAAAAAGAAAATTTAACATATTCTCTACAAATAAATAATATTGTAATTGAGACTCTACCAGTATTTTCTTCCAAAATTTTGGCTGGCTGCTTGGGTAAACCAATTCTAACTAAGAATAACCGGGAGAATTTTAGACAAGCAGAAATAATTATCTGAATTAAAGTGAATTAAATTTAATTTTGCAGCAAACAGTACAGATTATAAGAGAAACTTTCTTCTGCCTTTGAAAGACAGTAATTCCAGCAGCAGGTGCATTTCAGTTGTTTTACTTTTCTAAGAAATGGCCAGAATCACATTCCTGAGCATTTCTATGTCTTTCAGAGTTCCTTTTCCAGTCTTGCCTACTATATCCCTCTTAGCTTAAGAAGTACCGTCAAATTGTATTATCAGTGAGATGGCTACAAGCTAAAAATTAATCTGAGTGCAGTAGAAATATAAAATAACTTTAATAATTCACATCAACATGCAGACTGACCTGTCCAGTAATAGGTTAGGTGCAAATAAAAGCTTTCCTGGGTGTTCCATGGAGCGCCAGACTAAGCCAATCATCAGTATCTCTAACCAGGCACATTCCAGTAGGTGGACCTGATCATGGAGTGTTAAATCCACAAATCCTGAAAGAATAAATAGGACAGAGTAAAACCACTCCAGTTTTGTAAGTGAAACAACATTATTCAGAGAACCAGGCTTTAAAAAGCAAATGCATTGGAGCTGGATAACCACAAAGAAAAAAGCAATAAAACAGACATTTGTTCTCTTTACATTTTGACCTGAGATTTTTCTATTACTAGGTCTACAGTGGCTCCATCCTACAGAACAGCCAGCACTTTCTAGGCCCCTGGCTGTGTTCTGGCTGTGCCCTAACTCAAGAGTAGGACAGGAGCCAGGTGAGCATCTCGATCCCCACATCAGGCACAGGTGGCGGAAAGGGGCAGCTGCCCACTCCAGTGCCGTGCTGCCCGGGGCACGATGGAGAGAAAATGCCTCTTACGAAATGAAATGTTAGCTCTAGTCAGCTAACCCCAGACCACCTTCCCTACCTGAATGCAGTTTCACAGACTGGTCAACAATTCGCTGTACTGCAGGTGCTGTGTCTGTGTGCTCAGTACAGCATTCCAAAAAATATGGGCAGCAAATGCTGATTACTGCACAATCCAAACTCATCAATGAACCACTATTCCATTGGACTACAGCACCTGGAGGAAAGGGGTGACCTATTTTACTCTATATTTAAACAATGCCAGAAACAACGAATGCAAAATAAAGAGGTCACCTATAGCAAGATATGAAAGCACAATTAGAGTGGTCATTCCTGTGTTCATTTCACAGAACAGATTGTATTTTTCTTTATTTGAGACTCAATTTTTCATGAACATCACTTTCAATCCAAAGATATAAGCAAAGGGGTGATTCATTTCACAATTTATTACATCGTATCATAACTTATTCTTTAAAATTAGCATGAATTTGCTAAAATGAAATGTGTAGAGGTTCCCTTAAAAGATATCCTATCTTTTACTCAGTTACGAGTGAAACACATTATTGAACTTTTTCATTATATCTTTTTTTCCAATTGTAATTGACTCATATTAGTGCTCAGAATACAAGTTACAGGGTAAACTACCTTACCAGCCCAGTAAATGGCAGTGATTTTGCTTTTGTGTTGTGTTCTCACTAGAGGTATACGTTGAGCCATTTTCCGGGAACATACCTGACATACTCGAGTGCTATCTTGACAGGGGAAAAAAAAAACAAACCAAAAATCACATAGATTTTTAAAGTTAAATGCAGTGCTCTGAAATATACATTGATGTTGGTGACACCAAGATTGGAGGCAGCCTGGGCTGCATCCAGTGATCACACACTGGTGGACTTCAGAGTCCTGAGGGATATGGGTCAGGCAAAGAGTAAAGTTGGGACCCTGAATTTTAGGCAAGCAAACATCTAGCTCTTCAAGAAGCTAGTTAAGAGGACACCCTGGGAAATGGTCCAGGGACAAGGGAGCAGAACAGAGCTGGTAGATCTTTATGGACACTTTCTGTAGAGCACATGAGCTCCTGATCCCCAGATGTAAGAAACCAAGCAAGGAATGCCTGAGTTGAGACCTGCTGGGCAAACTAAAGGGCAAGAAGGAACTGCGTGAGCAGGGAAAGCAGGGACAGGTATCCTGGGAACAGTATATGCCTGGTTGTCTAGCGATATGGTGAAGAAGGCCAAGGTGCAGCTGGAGATGAACTGGGCAAGGGATGCAAAGAGTAACAATAAGTGCTTCTACAGGTATGCCAGCCAGAAAAGAAAGGTCAAAGAACACGTACCCCAATGACGGGCAAGACTGACAAATTAGCAACAACAAACAAAGAGAAGGCTGAGGTACTCAACAACCTTTTGACTCAGTTTTCACTAGCAACCTCTCTTCCTACACTTCTCGAGTGGATGGACTGCAAGGTGGGGACTGGGGGTCCCCCACAACACTCTTCTCTCTAAATTGGAGATTTTGTTATTTCGTTAGCCTGTTCTGAGATAAGAAATATACTGCCAGACAATGTTAACATCTTTTTAAGTGCATGAACGTGAAAACTTTATATTAAAATGTCTTAAAAGGACTGACCAACAATATTATTGCTATCTGGAATATTAACTCTGATTTCAGTGAAGCTAAGGAAGTTAGGATGAAAAGAAAACTGATTATGAGTAGTTTAATAGCTTAAAGCATTAAATGATCTGTCAGCCTGCCATCTACTTTGGGTTCTATAACAAAATAGATAACACAAACCTTGATTAATGCAGATTTAAAAGCCTGTAATATAGTAATATACGTCAAATGCAATTCAGGGGACATTATAAATTTAGTTGATAAAATAATAATTTTGATGAAACAGATTTCTATGAGACATTTGATTTTGTAAAAACATGCACGATATTAACTGAATTAAGGTATTTTAAATTACATATCTCAGTATGTAATGGCAATAATGTAATGAACTGAAGTGCTTCTAAAGGAACTCCATATAGTTTACTTCTTTGCCCTAGACAAGTTTTTTCATGATGGCATGAGAAAAAGACAGAAATCATGATTCAGGTGTCATGGTGGCATGTGGGAAATAATGCAAAAGGCAGGTTGATGTTATAAGCAATCTAAATCATTCACAAGCTTTATCATAAAAAACCAGAAGTTTAAAACCAAGAACATTAAACATATATACAAGACTGAGACTGTAGCAGCTACAAAGATGACTTGGACATGATGAAGAAGAATCAGCCCAGATTGACATTCCAGTGGGAAGCTATATCCAATAAAAGTGATGAACTTTACAAAAAGCCAGAGAAACTCTGAGAGAGGAAAGAAGCTAAGTTACCTCTGTGTTACCTGAATCTGATAACCACTCTTCAAGTGGGATGAGAAGTTGGACAGAATGACAGAGAAATATCAAATTGAATAAAACATTGAAAAACATGTCCTCTAGTAAGGAGTAAGAGGAATTTAGTTACTCTTTGTGCAGTTAAATAGACTAAAGGAGTTAAAGGACTGCAATGGGTTAAAACTAAAAAAAAAGAGAATGGCATTGCAAAAGGTAATGGCATAACATACAGAAGCCCATGCTGGAAGATAAATCTGCTCTGAACGAGATGACAAATAAGGAGCCATTGTTCACAACAAAAGTAGTTATTATCTAAGCAACATACTAAGTTTCCATAAATTTGAAACACTAATCAAGATTTAATTATTATTTTAAAGACTTACTCTTATTCAAGCAAGCTAAATCAGAATAATGTTAGAGAAGGTTAAATTAAATGATGAATAAATCATTAGTCACTTCATCACTCAGAGCATGCCGCACTTTAATGCCACTAAAATTATGTGCAGATGTGCACTGCCTTCTCAAGTATCAGTGTTCTTTTAATGCAGTCAAGTTTGGAATGAAAAATTATTTTTTAATTCTAAATTTTTGGTTAATGTGCTTTAAGGAAAAAGAAAAACCCTCACCTCACTGCTTATAAATTAATTGATTGCAGCTTATGGATATAACCTACATCTGACTCCATACACCAGACTGACCAATTTCATGACCTTATGAGACATATCAAAATTATTGGGTGGCCAAAATCCACAAGACCTTGACTGTCATTTAGCCACTCATGTATCATATGATTTCTCTGGCAGGAGAAAGACACTTACAAAACAAAAGCCATGACTGGAACATCCTTTTTTCATATACAGATAAATTAACAGTATTTTTTGAGTGATTGCCAGCACAGAACACAATAATTGTTCCTCAAACACTTTGATAAATACAGAAATCCGAACTGAAAAGTCAGAAAGGTGTTCTGAGCACTAAGCTAAGAGTAGGTGGCAAATAAATATATGTTATATGTGGAGCACAAACCAGTAATGTTCAAATTAAACTGATTATCCTTTCTAATAGGGAACATCAGTATGTGCTGCACCAGTGACAATACACAGATCTCTCTTCCAGGCAGTAAGACACTCTGAAATCATCAGTAGGTCCCTGGAGGAAAAGCTATAAAAAGCCCTATTGTAGCAAGCATGACTCTCTAGAGGTGATATTAGACTTGGGAATCCAAAGTTGTATGACCCTACCACCCTAAAAAAAAGAAGGCTGCAGCCATCTGCAACAGGTATGAGCCAATCTTTTTGCAAACTGGCAGTTGCCCAAAGGGAAGGGTTGCCATGAAAGAACAGAAGGACTCCTGGAAGTAGTATTAGGTAAAACACAGACCCCTGACAACAACAGAGAAGTGGTTTATCATAGAACCATAGATAGTCAGAGTTGGAAGAGACCTTAAAGATCGTCTAGTTCCAACCTCCCTGCCATGGGCAGGGACATCCCCCACTAGATCAGGCTGCCCAGAGCCCCATCAAGCTTCGCCTTAAAAACTTCCAAGGATGGGGCTTCCATCCCCTCTCTGAGCAACCTGTGCCAGGGTCTCACCACCCTCATAGTGAAGAGCTTCTTCCTAACATCCAATCCGAACCGATTCATCTCTAGCTTTAATCCATTCCCTCTAGTCCTATCACTACCCAACATCCTAAAAAGCCCCTCCCCAGCTTTCTTGTAGCCCCCCTGAGATACTGGAAGGCCACAATAAGGTCTCCTTGGAGCCTTCTTTTCTGCAGACTGAACTGCCCCAACTCTCTCAGTCTGTCCTCATAGGAGAGGTGCTCCAGTCCTCTGATCATCTTTGTGGCCCTTCTCTGGACACGCTCCAGCACGTCCGTATCTTTCTTGTACTGTGGGCTCCAGAACTGGACGCAGTACTCCAGGTGAGGTCTCATGAGAGTGCGAATCACCTCCCCCAACCTGCGGGCCCCACACCTCTTGATGCAGCCCACGACACGATTGGCTTTCCGGGCTTCAAGCGCACACTGATGGCTCATGTTGAGCTTCT